GCCACTGGCACTGAAGTTTGCCCCTGCCTACAAGTTGTAATAGTTTTTTCTTGTGTCTAACTGGAGGTATTTGTTTTCTAGATTACACGCTAAAATGAACAGAATAGGTAAGTATAAAAAAAGTAATTTATTAAGTGAATTGAAAGCAGTTACACAAGGATACACACAGGTTACACAAGGAGGTTGGGAGGTGGGATAAAAAATTACCTCAATTCGATTTCGTAGTCACAGGGTGCTACATCAGCAAAAACATGTAACAAGAAAATGTTTATAATTCTTTTTCGCACAATATTTGGAGCACAGTGGCCGGGTTGGGAGGGGGGAGAGAGATATAAAGCATCAATTCCACTGGAAATCACGAACTTGCTGGATTTTCACGTACCTATAACGCAGATTTATACGAAAGCTGGGTAGTAGAATGTTAATTTGCATTTAGGATGGGGGAGGAGGGGCAACAGGATCGGTGGCAGACGCGTGGAGGATATGCGAACAGCGCGGGGCTACCTTTGACAAGCCATAGCTCCCGATCTAAACGTTCCCCCAAGATGCGGTTTTTTGCATCTTATAGGAAATTGAGTGGAGAATCTAAAAAACTGGTTTTTGTTTTAGTAGAGTCATTGCGCAGTGCCGAAACACGACAAAATTGAAAATTTTGTCTCCTACAAAATCGAAAAATTGCTAAAAATTTGCATTAAATTTGACTTTTTTTCAATTTTTCTGGTATCAGCAGATAGATCCTTTTGAGATCTTTCATTTAAAAAAAAGTTCAACTCAATCCGATTTTTCGCTCAAAAGTTATAGGCAGTTGAAGGTTTTGTCTTTGACCCCCCTCCCCCCCTCTCTGGGGGGGTCTAAGTCAAAATGTCCGTCATATTTTAGCGTCTCGCATGCTACTGTATCACTCCTGAAAAGATGGATCATATTTGATAGGGGGCCAAATCTAATGGGGGATGGAACAACCTCTTTCCACCATTTTTAACTTTGACCGACCGCCATTTTGTCAAAAATCAACATTTTGACCTGCGGTTTGCGCCAAAAATTTTCTTTTTTTATTATCTTTCGAATGAGTCATCACAAAAGGGGTGTTGCCATTGGAAAAAAAAAAGTTAGCCCCCGCCCCCCTTAAGGGGGGCCGCCCCCCAGAATTTTGGGGGGACCAAAAAGTTGCTACCTTAAGCCGAGGAACATTCCCAAAGTTTCAAACCTCTATCTCAATTAGGAAAAAAGTTACAGGGGTGGTAGGTGACTTTTGGATAACCCTGTATATACAACATATCACAAAAGTATAGTTGTCCTTGGATTCCGACGATGTGAAAATTGACGGGGATGTCGATTTTAGCGGCCTTTTTTTACTTGAAGGTAGCTCTTTTGAACGTTTTTCCACCTTAGTCATCCTTCATGGGTGTTTACTGTATGTATTTCTCTGTGTAATCTTCATTTCTGGCCGTAAAAATGGTTTCCTATGAATTTTAATAGGTCTAATGGTCCATTGTTGCCAATTTTTACCAATGTTTAGGGGTTTTTTCAAGTTTCTATGTGTAAAACTTAATTTTAGCTAAAAACCGTGTACTTTTCAGAAAGAACGTAAAAAAAATCCATATGTAGTGTGCATTGTAACTTTTCCCTACATTGCCAAATTTTCGAGAAAAATCGTCCTGAAGTGCTAAAAATGCCAAAAATTGGATTAATCATCATGTCAAAGGTTCTAGGAGGTGAATTTCCAGTTTTCTTTCATTACAAATAACGTATCAAAATCCAGCATCTAATTGAAGACACCTCGTATCTCAGGCAAAGTCTTGTAGGACATGGAACAACCTCTTTTCAAAGGAACTGACAGTACATTCAATAGTTGCATATCTCTGCAACCTTTTTGAGGACCCGTTTCATTATGCTCCTTCATAAATTCATGCATCAGCTGAAAAAACTGCTTGTTTTTTTTAAATGACATTTATTCATTGTCTTTTCATCTTTTTCCAGAGTGGTCAGTTGAAAGTGTGCACCACAGATCGTTCAAATGTTTTGGCAGAACTGATGAACTCAGAGCCTGAACTAGATTTACTCATGATGGAAGCAATTAAATTGCACATGATTGTCTCAGCAATAAAACTGTATTCCAATAAATCAGAGATGCCTACATTTGGAATGCTCATGTTTGCCAGGGACACCTCTGAAACACCCAAGGATTTTATGAACAACCATCTCCTGCCGATTGGAGATACAGCTGGTCTTGAACAAGTAAGCCCTCAAAATTTACAATTATTTAAACGGAAAAGGGTGTGGTGTGTGGAAGCACCCTCATTCTCTATGTCCTAAAGCGGGAGGTGCAAGTAATTGCACAATCCTCCTTCTACCCCCTGTCTCTTGTTACACTTTAGTAATGTGCAAATAGACCCAAAAAGTGCACTTTTAGTGTTAATCCAGGGGAGTTTTTTTTAAGCACATAAAAGGGGCCGATCAAAAAATAACTAAAATTAGCTACCTTTAAGGGAGGCGTGTATTTGGCGCGACCTCAAAATATTTTTCGATTTCATCGAAATTTTACCGAGACCGTCTTTTTACCTATTTGAATGAGAGAGGGTCCCGTTGAAATTTCAAAAAAAGTGAAAAACCCTCACTTTTAAAACATCCTAAGGGGAGGGGGGGCTGTTAGTGGCAGGAGTTCAATAAGGTAAGTCCAGATGATGCGCTTCAAGGTCCTATTCACTTTTGATGGTGTGACACGTCCTTCATTTATGATGGGCAGGCCCAGGGTTCACAAGGGTTGGTGCCCAGCATTGGTAAGGGCATAGCCCAGAATTTGATAAGGCTTAAGCCTAGAAAAGGGATAAGAAGCCTTGAATACAACCCCTTTTGGAGTCGATTGAACGGATCGTGTGCATTGTGTACTGCTCAGGTTCTGCTGGTGTTTTTCTAGTGATTGGTGGCTCCCCCTCAATTTAAAGTTCAATAGCATACCTGCTGGAATAGCTGGCTGATTGCAACGACAATATGACAGTCTCAATAACCATTTCGAATCTTAAAGCAAAACTTCTGGCTTTTTTGTAGAACTCCTAACATTAGTAAAGGATAGGTCTATATGAGGTGCTTCGAATAAAATTGCACTGCTATCTCAACTTATCATCTAATTTTGTTCAAAATACCATCAAAAGCACTGTAATTCATAAAATTATGAACACAAAGAAGAAAAAACTTATCTAAAGCTATACCCTTTCACCATTTTAACTTGTTATACCATTATTTCACTTATGCATTTGGTATTTTTTTTTCTTTTGGTCATTTTTACCGTATTTTAATCATCAAAAAACTTCTTACCTTCTCTTTCAGGTGGAAATGTTCCTTCTTGGTTACACCCTTAGAATTGTAATAAGAGTATTTAGAACCTCATCATTTGGAACATCAGATTTCATATGTTACTTCCCAGGAAAAGAGGATAACCAAGATTTACCTGAAATTAGCATAATAGCGGAGGATGATAGGCACTACAATATTTTGACCATGTAATTTAATCTTCCTTCTTGATTTGTCGAGGAAGTAAACTTGTCTTTGAATCATCAGGTAATTGTAATCTATGGATTAAATTAAAATTAGAAGAAGGTGACAAAGATTTTCGTGTGAACAACAATTGTCAACTTCCTCCGTAAAATAACATATGCATGGGTACATATGACCCTTTTTAATCCATCAAGAATACTTGTATCAAGTATTTTTTGACTTGAGGCTTAGAGAGCCTCAAGAGAGTTAAAATACTGAGAGTTAAATAGAACTTATAGTACTAGAAAATATCACTGATTCTGCAGTTTACCTATTAAGAAAACCGGTGTTTGTTTGCTTCAAATGTTAAGTCATTCAACTTTTTCATTAATACATTTACCATTGTCACAAGACAGGTTTTTACGGTTGTCTTCTCTTTTCTTCTCAACATGCAAGCAATTTTAATAATTCTAGGACTACTCGCCCACAGACTCGTCGCCCACGGTATTACTCATCAAGTCACCAACAAAGCTTAACCCACAGCATTTAGACCCACATGCACTTTCGTGCACATTGAATTTGGGGGAAAAATTCGTCCTCTTCAAAAAAAAGGTACAAGAGTAACAACAAGTGATTATAGAGCACTTGCGAGGAGTATGAATCGTAGAAAAAAGAAAATGCGAGGATGGAAAAGAAACGGGAAAAGGATTGTTAAAATTTGTGAGAGCTACAGGATTTTGCATTTCTCTATGGAACAAGTAAGCGTAATTGTTATTTCAATTACATTTATTTGATGAGAACTCTCGTAGATGAAAAAACACGTGGATTAAAAAGGTTGTGGGTGAATAGTCCATGGCTCAGGACGGCTTTTATTTTTGAAAGTTGAGAAAAGTTCAGATCTCTTCCGCTCAAAATATGCTACGATGTGGCCAAATCAAGAATCTTTTTGATAAAAAATTAAAATTTTTTTTTAGAGATGTCTCAAGCACCATAAAGGGCGCACATCTAAGAATTAGGATTTTGGCAGAAGTCTTGTCGATTCACAACGAAAATGAACTAATTATGGTTCTTAAGAACAAAAATTTCATCCGTTTGGACGTATTTACAATCGGGAAGCCGCAAACGGCCAGTTGAGGCGTGGAAACCACCCTTTGGCGCGTCTCTTATAGGCTGCGCAGTGAATTTGAGCCGCTTGCTGTAGACACAGGGTTGCGAGTAGTTAATCCCTGCTAGAAATCTACGAATTACGGGCATTTGGGTGAAAATGTTGATCATTTTGCTGTATCTCTGAGCGTTTTGCCTTGAACCACCATTTTTGGGGGAGAAGTAAATCTGCCTACCGGACAATCCATGGAATTGACTCCTTTTAGCACTACCTGCCCAATTTTGCCGGCTGTTCCTGAAGCTCACATCTTTCTTACATACAGATAACTTACAGCGTATGTCTGCTCCTCTTCTCTTCGTTTTTTTATCGAAAGTATTAATCTTCTTGGGGGTAAATATTCAAAACTATTGTTTTTGTTTAAGAGTTGCTCTCAACAAATCAGAACACAGGGTAGCTGGAGATCTCATGTTCGCGTTTCGATGTATTTTCGCCTTCAGTCCTCTTGTACAAGTTCTCTTAGAGAGTCGGGATCATGATTTTATTTTTCAAATTCTACTTCTGAGAGTAAAAAAGGTATAACGAAGGGACGTGGACAAGGGAGTGGAAGAGAATCATACTATTGATAATATGTTTTGCATGGAATGGATTGACACACTCTATAATCTTCTGCATTTAAAGACACGCAATCGAGCTAAAGAGCCACAATTTGATGATTTCCATTGTGAATTGACACTACTTTTGCCAAAATCCTAATTTTTACAAGTGCGCCTTTAGGGCGCCTTAGACACCTCTAAAAAATGTTGAAATTTTTTTTTTCAAAATGATTCTTGATTTGGCCACATTGTAGCATATTTTGAGCGGAAGAGACCTGAACTTTCCTCAAATTTCAAAACTAAGAGCCACCTTACCTGGGGTGAGTGATCCTGGCACCATTTTGATCTCCAAAAATGGCAGATTAATTTCAAATGAGGTTCTCTGAAGACTTCATTATTTAAACTGTAGACTCAAAAGCAGCATGCTTTTCGGCTTCAAGTTTCGTATTTATTGTTGTGTTTTCTTCTTTTTGTCAACATTAGTATCATTAAATATTGCCTCGTAACCATAATACAACACGAGAGCATGATCAGTTGATGTATGTCTTTTAACATTTGCATTTAACCTGATAATGGGTCAGTTGCTCTGATCACAGAATCGTTTTTTGATGCTTGCTTATTGTAGATTAGCTAAAACAATAGAATCTGTCCAAATAGCAACTTTCTACGTTCATTATTAACATAGATATCGCCCTTTGATAAATTCGGATTATGACGTCATCCTCCGCGGTAGTGACACCCTTGGTTTCCTTCACCTTGCTTTCATCCGAGTTTCACGCTGAATAACCAGTGCAAACGTGTGTCACGTTGACTGATGAAAGGAAGGTGGAAGAAACCAAGGGTGTCACTATTGCGGTGGATGACGTCAAAAACCCTACTTTTCAAAGAGCGATAGTTCTGTTAATAAAGAACGCAGAGAGTTGCTGTGTGGACCAATCTTATTATTTTTAGCTAATCTACAAGAATCAAGCATCAAAACGCGATTCTGTGACCAGTGCAACGGACCCATTACTTGTAAATTGCTTGAGTCTTTCCCAGAAAAAATGAAGAAAAGTAATTAGATTAAAAAAACAAATTGAAGGTACAAGAAAATAATTAATAAAAAATTCAAGATCCAAGAATTGGAACGAAGAGATCTTAAAACAAGAGAGAAATAAAAAAAAAGAGACTTTGATTAAAAATGCTAAAACTCCTAACTTTCTCACTTTCACAGGACCTTTTGTACACTTCACCACTCACCATTTTATAACTTGGCATAGGTCTCACTCATAAACTCACCTACTTGATCAACTGAACAGCTAAAAGTCAGCTATCGCAAGTGAATCCAAAAAACTCTGCAGGCGAAATTGTACATGCCCCTCTTTAACTGAGCGAGACACAATATAGGAGCGCTATCGAGCACTGCTCAGGCCTGTTCAGCAAGTAACGATGGCTTAGTCAATAGTAACTTTCTCAACTTTTTTGAAAATTCTGTGGAAGTGTTTGCGCATAACCATCCAGAGTGGCTGCTAAAGGGTGATCTTGAGCAGTTACAAAAGGAGGATTCTGTATTTCCATTTTACTTTTATATCCTTTACACTCATCTTGAGCACTCAAATCTGTAGTGTATAATTCATAAATAATTATATATTTCATTTTATTAGGTGAATCCTCCAGTGGTCCAGAACCATTTTTAGTTGAAAACATAATTTGTATTATTAAGATATGTTTTGGGGCCCTGTTCAGTTTTGTGTCGTTGTATTATGCTAAATAAATTTATCTGTTACCATATGTTCGTTTAATTTCACGGCGTCTGGGCAAACCAGTACATTCCTATTATCTTTTTTGAAAGGCACTATATTGTGTTTGAATTAGGTGAGTTGGACCTCTCAATTGGACGTATTTCTACCAAAGGGAACTAAGCACCAAATTTTCAATTTTCACTTTTTAACAGATTTGGATTCTTTGTCACCTAAGCCTCTGAGGTACGAGTATATCCCAAAAAAACTCATTACATTCTGTAGGAACAGTGCATGAAAAATCGTAAAACGGAAAACAGAGGATGACAAATTAAATCAAAGGGAACTATGTGCGGTTCCCTTTGATTCAATGAGCTAGCCGAGACACTGCTGTCAAATGGGACTGTGTGCAGGAAAAAATATTCTATGCCAGCATTCCCGGCACCTGTTCAATCAGCCATAGTGAATCATTGTACCAGGAGGAATTTGTAGATGATAACTCGAATTTTTAGTCTTTCCAAAAGGAGGGGTATCGATAAGGGCTTTTTTTTGGCCCCCCCTAGAGGGCCTTTTTTGGACACCCCTAGAATCTGGTAATTTTTGCGGATTTTCCACGTTGACTCAATGTAGTTTACGAATAATCATGATTTGGTCCAAAGGCCACTGGGTACGTGTTAAACGGGTGCCTGAACTAACGTTTGCAGGCGCATTTTAGCGAAAATGCGTGTTTTTCTATCACTCTGAGGCCTTTTTGACACCGAGCGCATCGTCTGACTAAGACTAGTTTTTGATATGTTATCAAGGAGGCTTTCGGACAAATTTTAACCCTAGTTTGGTTTTAGTTAGATGATGCGCTCATAGTTAAAAAAAACTTCACATAGGTACCAACTAACATAGTTCAAAAATCAACTTCTAAGGGACATCCGCAAAAATCTTAGGGAAACACGTCTCTCCAACTGTATACACCCTACGTATATTATCGAGAGCAGTTATCAAGCCTTGTTACACTTTTACGAGGAGATATTCTTTAACTTCAGCTCCCCCCCCCCCCCAAAAACCCTAACGACGTAATTCCCTAAGTTTTTTGCGGTTGTCCCTTATAAGTCGACTTTTGAAAAAGTTTTTTTAAACTAAGAGCGCATCATCTAACTAAAACCAAACCAGGGTTAAAATGTGTCCTAAAGCCTCCTTGATAACATATCAAAAGCTCTTTTTAGTTAGACGATGCTCTCAGTGTCAAAAAAGCCTCGGAGTGATAGAAAAACAGGCATTTTCGCTAAAATACACCTGCAGAAGTATGTTCAGGCAACCATTTAACACGTATCCAGTGGCCTATGAACCAAATCATGATTATTACCGTAAACTACATTGAGTCAACTTGGAAAACTCCCATAAATTTCCAGATTCTAGGTGGGGCCAAAAAAAGCCCTGTAGCAGGGGCCAAAAAAGACCTCTAGGGGGGCCAAAAAAGGCCCTTATCGATACCCCTCCTTTGAAACGGTAGGCTGAGCGGGGGTCGCGGGGATTTCAAGAATCAGAGCAAAGATAGCCAACAGCTGCCCTTCTGGTAGCTATTATTCTATGATACTGCGTTCTGTCTAACAGAGCTATGTGCAGTCAATCGACGTGCGCGCGGCGGAGCCGCAGAAACAGCGAATGAGAACCGGCGACGATCAAATTGAAACTTGTCTACGACTCCGATGAACAGTCAACACCGCCCGAACGAAGCTGAGCGAATCAGTCGCGCCGAGAGCAGCCGGAAGCATTGGGAGATTGCAGAGTGCACATAGTTCTGTTTGACAGAATGCGCTACCACAGATTTTTAATTCAGAAAAACAGAACTAAGTGCATTTCGACCCAGATCTCGTTTAATATGGATTATTAAGAAATTTGGCATTAGATACGTTAAGAAGCACGTCTCCGCTTCCAACCAAGCCATAGAAATCGAAAATCGGTTCATTGGTACAGATACGCCAATGGTTTTTGCAAACCTTGTTCTACTGGAAAGTTTCGAAATTGCACATAGTTCTGTTTAATAGGAATGCGTCCATTTTATTTACAAATTTGGCAGGGAAAGTTTCGAAATTGCACATAGTTCTGTTTGATAGAAATGCGTCCATTTCATTTACTTTTGCAGAAATTTTAAATAACTATTGCTATTAAGGTTAATGTAATTGCACCTGAGTCACCAGTATTTACCTCTGGAATGACATTACTTAGTTGAAACTTCAAATCATCATAATAATAGAGAAGCTTTTATTGGCTGGATAATATGAACATTAGGAACACTTTAAAATTTAAAAATTTGAAGGTGCCCCAAGGCTGAAAGATGAAAAAATTTGATGGTCATACTTGGAATGCTGGAGAATTATAATATTTATTATCCCAAGGAAATCCTGGGGAAATAGGAGAAAACTTCGGTTTCCTATCAGAGAATGAGCATTGTCAAGAATTCTAGACTCCCTGCTTCAAACATGCAGGTGGTTTCTTGGAAGTTGTCAACAGAAATTGGGTAGGGTCTCTTACCTTGTGTAAGGAATCTATTTTGTAAACAAAACGTATTCAGACAAACGACTCAAAACATTTACTACCATTGTGATGAGAAAACCTTCCCCTGTCTTCTCTTCCCCCATGAATTGATCCTATTGATCCCTCTATTGATTTTAATTTACATTGAAAGATGTGATGACTGGCGAGCAAATGATGACTGGGTACAATATGACAAATTCAACCAAAGTTTACATTATTTTCTCTCGAAAAATAGTAAAATACCGTAAAGAGATAAAAAGGAGGAGTGCTTCAGGATAAGTGTAACTGTAATTTAAATTCCTTGACCTTGATGTTATGAGTGAGAAAAACTATGTTTCCCAAAAAATAATCCTAACAGTGGTTTGAGGTAATCTTAAAACGAATTTTTAAAAAATGGGCTTTAAATTGAGAGTAACATGAATCAATAACAAAGAAGTAAGTATTTAATGGAAAGGAGAATCCCACACAAAACATTTAAAGTCCTTAGGAGACACAAACCAGCATGATGATGTAAAACAATTTTTTTTTTTTTTTTTTTTTTTTAAGTGGCTTTGTAATACAACTGAGTACCAGGAGGGTCATAAGGGCTGCTGGACAAGGTATGAATGAAAACACAATGTTAGAGTCCACGCCAAATAAGGTCTCGCACTATTAGACTACGATCGTCTGACGCCATTGTAGCGTGGAAAAAGAATTCAAGAATCTAAGTGGTGGATCTGCTGTCATAGTCTAAAGGTGCTCAAACTTATTTGGCTTGAACTCTACTTGTCTTAAGGCATTAATATGAGCTTTCAACACAGGTCAAGTAGATCAATGAGAAACACGAATGAAATCATTTGTATTATGTAATTTGACTAATGTTATTCATAAACAATGAATTTTAGTTTGGAACGAATTGATGTGTGAATTGTTCTCTACTTAAAATTTTCACGAAGAAAAACAAGGAACGTAGGACTTCCATTCATAGTAGAGACTCATATTCAATGGAAAAAGGGGCCTCAGTGATAAAACCTTCATTTTTAAAATATTGGTACTATTGCTTGGATGCTTGTTCTAAGAACACTAAGGCATGAAAAAACATCTGAAAATACCAAATCATGCTAAAGTAATGAAGTTTAGAAGTTCCTAAAAGCTGATTTGGGAGCTGAAAATTGTGAAATCAGAGATAACTTCTCTGTTAGTATAAAAATGAACTGAACCTCCTGCTATTCATTTTGAGGATTTTTTCCAGGAAAGGAACAAATTCTGCCTCTCCGACTGAACTTCACAAAAATTGCTCCCCTTAATGTTATGTCTCCGTTCAATAGACACAAGTCATGAGAAGTCTGGTTTTATTACCGGAAAAAAAAGAAATGCATTGTGTCTGTGAATTGGTCTATTGGTCCATTTGGCCAGAGAAAAATTGCGAAATTAGAAGATAAAAATAAGACTTTTTTGTGCAAAAAGTACTGTATGAAATACCAAAAGCAATCCTGATAGAATGAAAAACATTTTCCCGTACAAATTCTCTGTTTTTTCTTTGAATTCCACAATTTTATTCCGTTCAAGAATTTGCCCACATTTTTGACTTGACTAAAACCTAAGTACAGATCAAATGCCGGTTTGACCACAATCAGAGATCCTTATCTTCAGTGAAAAACAATATACAAGTTATGTCCACTGGGTTTCCTTCAGCCACTTCCTTTCTCCAAAACTTTTGATTGGTCGAAAGGGTTGAGATACAAAAATCCTTTCTTTAACAAGTGAGATCTGATGAAGAATTTCATATTTGTAGCCTAAATGTATTAATACTTTCTAAAAGGATTTATCAAAAATAGACATACCAAAGATCGATTGTGAAAAGTCAAAAAACTTGAACCTTGATTGCAAGATTTCAAAATTATGGCTGATTTTAATTATAACAAAGTATACAACAGAATAACATTATTTTTTTTTACATTTTCACAGAATATTCTCTGTAGAAGAGAGAATAATCAATAGCACTTCCAAAAAATATGTTTACTAATCATTAATTATTATAAACGACCTCCTAAATTTTCATTTTTTGTCAAAAATTGTTCTACCATTCTACTGGGCCAATTTCCATGATTGTTCCCTCTATTGATAGGCGATGGTCCCTAACTAAGCCCACCTTTTTTAGATTTTGAACATATGGTCTAGGTTTATTTATATCACGTGATAAGGTTATGGATTCTCCCATTTGAATAATGCAAATGTTCCGTCTCTGTCACAGTTTGTTCTAAAGATCTACCCTGCCGATTTTCATTATTTACGAGGTGTGATCAAAAAATTCCCGGAATTTTTCCGCCATTTCTTTAAAAATGGTAGTTTTGAGTTGATCTTGGGCGTTTCGGAAAGTAAAGACCTCACCAATACGACGGTGTTTTGGTTTTTGAGCTAGCTTTAATAGTTTATTTACAGCACTCGTCAAAAGGGGTACATGTTTGCATTGATCTGCAATGAAATATTTGTGATGAAATAAGAAAGTTTCACTCAACTGCATAGCTTGATTTTTGGCGGACAAGAGAGGATGAGTTCAATCGCAACACTGATAAGATATCGAGATATCGTTCTTGATAGTGTGTCTCACTTGTTATTCGACTGATAATGCTGTCTTTTGGCCAAGTAAAATGCATTTTCGGAGACCTGATCGGTGTGCATCTTCCAGTGGCTCTATTTGGTGTCTCTGTTTGCGTCTAAATTTTAGTTTTGGCAAAGATGCTTTTGAAAATCGAGCAAAGGGTAAACGTGATGTACTTCCACATCTTCCTATCTTCCTTATTCTCTGGATCTGGCTCAGTGTGATTTCTTCTTGTTTCTAAAAACAAAACTCAGCATGAAAGGCCGGCGTTTTGCCCATTAAATTTTCCTCTCAGACATAAATTAACGACAAAGATTTTAAAACGCCACAATCGAGAGGTGCCCTTCTCGCATCCAGCACCTTAGTTAATGGCAGTAAAATCTTGGAGCTATTACTCTTAGAGCATTTAATGAGGTAGTACTTGCCAAACTTTTTGATAAAAATAAAATAGAAAGCATGAAATAATTTATCCCAGATAAAAATAACTAAAAAGATTGGATAGAGTGCTCCATGTAAGCAAATTTCTTCGTTGAATGGTCGAGTGATCCTATTGACTGATTTCCAATAAAAATTGAAGTCTTGAGAAGTGATTGAGCGTAACCTCCAGGTGAAATTCTTCCCAGATGACATATGATCGATCAATTTATGACAGCTTGTGCAGCGGTAAAATTTGTCGATATTGTTTAAAATCTCCTGAGAGATTTTCTGGGCCTGCAAACAAAAAAGAAAACATCATTTAAATACCAGTATATCAATGACTTTTTTTTGAATTTTTCCTTTTTAAAAAAAGTGTCATAGCTACTACTTGAACTAAATGCCTTGTATCTATCTATATGAGTTAAGATTACACAGATATTAAAAGACAAAATTACATTACATAATACAGATAATCTAGAGGACTAGCACTTTTGGAATTCTCTATCTTATGTTATAAGAAAATTTTATCAATGGCTGATGTGGAAAAATGCGTATCTCAGATTGTGATGTTGTACGTCTCCACTCCCGTTTTATTATTTTAAAAGAAAACTGTCGTACAGTTTCTGTTGAAATTTTCTGTGAATTTTCTTTGCTTATTCTAAATTGAAGAGCACACAAAATTTATCAGTAAAGTAGAGACACCCACCATGTACTGAAAACACTGGATAGTTGGAAATGTAAAATTATTCGCCTCAGCACTAGTGATCCAGGCGTTGGTCTTAGCTGCGTCGATGTTACTGGAGCCAGACAATTTTCATAGCAAGTGAATCAATAGGGTATCGTCATCAACAATATCGTCAAAATCATTTGTAGCACTTTCCTGAGCAGTGTTGACAATTTTATTCTGAGACTCAGTAAAGTCTTTATACATCTAACATTAGTCTCATATGTATTTAAAATCGACAATGAGATCAAGGAACTTTTTCCATGAGCCGAAAAATCTCAGTATTAGAACTTTCTTCTACATCCTGCTGGATGCTTGTCCGATAGATAACTAAAGCGCCGGATAACCAGGATTCTACTATGTAACTACTCTTTTTGTCAGACCAAAGTTGACTCGTCAATGTCTATCTCTCTAGATGAGCTCTGAAAAATTCCATCTGACTTGAGAGAAAAGAGTTTTCCCTTAAATGTCTTCGTTCAATTTACACTACAAAAAAAAGTGATCAAAGGTTTGTCATCCTGCATACTTAAAATACCAAAAACTTTCATTAGAGACAAAGATATGAACTCTTATGAGTAGGTATCAGTGAGAAACTGAGGGGAGGAGGGGGAGAATGTCCAGCTCAGGCGGATGCATTGGAATACTAAGCTAAGGTCACGCATTGACATAGTTTTCTTGTTGATCCATGTCTTGCTCCTCACAATGACAGCCTGTCTATTTGTCTCTCCGACAACTGTGTTCAACTTGCGAAGTCATTTTTCTGACAACATCTTTCATTTCCTCAGTCAAATCGTTTGGCATTTCTGGAGCAACAAATCTTTAGACTGAAACATTGCTTGAAGCAATGTATATACTGGCAAGAAAAATGTACTTATTGTTAGCATACAATAAACCTTTTTTTTCTATTTTGATGTACAAATCCAACTAAAGTCCTGATAAATATTCTAGAAGTCCTTTGACTCCTTTCCCTCATTAGATAGTTTTCAAAACCTACACAAATTGATAGAATGGAGGCAATATTGCTTTAGCAAACATTTTGAGAATTTTAGCTTTCTGTTTGTCTATAAAAATTCAAATTTGGCTAAAACCTAATCCAGAAACTAACTCCAGAAATAGCTTAGTGAAACTTCCTTTCAGCTCCGATTAGATAAAATGACTGAGAAAACGTTATGAAAATGTTTTTAATTTTACCCACTTTGATTATTCGAAGTGGGGTATATTGAATATGAGATGTACAGCAATGAATAAATATAAATAATTTACCCTGTGAAGCTGACTGTATGAACCAGTAAGGTGGGGTCTTTAACTACTTGCTAACTTCCTTAAGACAAATTGATCTTCAGAAGTTAATAAACAGGTTATAGCTCTGAAACAGAAAACAGTCCTCCAGTCAATGAACCATTTCATATTTTTAAAAAGCTTGCATCTCACAAGAGAGAGATAGCGCCATTCACATGTTCGTATCCTCATCCTGACCGGGCAATTTCAGTTGATTTTCAATTAGTTCGGCTCCAACGAAAACCGCAAATGACGGTTTTCCAGTTTTTAGATTTTTAGTGTATTTCTTGAAGAAAATACACTGCTGCATTCTCCCATGCTATCGGCACCAGACCTGAAACCTTGTGAAAAGCACCGATCACGGGTCGAAGATTACGAAAATATATGGCATTCAAATTCATGTGTATATATACAGGGTTATCCAAAAGTCACCTACCACCCCTGTGAGTTTTTTCCTCATTGGGATAGAAGTTTGAAACTTTAAGGACGTTCCCAGGTCTCAAGTAGCAACTTTTTGGTTTCTCCAAAATTTGGGGAAGCGGCCCCAATTAGGAGTCCGGACCTCGATTTTTTTTTTCAAATGGCAATCCCCACCCCCCTTTGTAACACCTCATTTGGAAGATAATAAAAAAAAAAGAAATTTTGTGGCGCAAACCACAGGTCCGCGATCGCAATGTTGATTTTTTACTAGATGGCGGCCAGTGAAAGTTCAAAATGGCGGGAATTTGGCATGTCCGTTTCTAGCAACGGATTGGGATGAAACTCGGTATACAGGGGTTTTTTGGGACGAGACAAACGATTCTTCCAAAAGTTTACCAGGAAATTAAATCCTTCTCAAAATTCACAGTTCGTTTTACAAAAATTTAATTTTTCTGGGGATCACTCGCGATTATTTTTGATGAAAGTGTCCAATGAAGAATTGAAAGATTGGAAACCGCGAAATCGTAAGGAGGGCCGATTTTATTTTTTATTTTTAAGGGTACGATGGCGGCAGAAGCCAATGTGCGACCACCAAAACCCACTACCCTCTGGTCAAATTAAGTTAAAATTTTATGTATATTCGTCCTTGACGTGCAAATAGGTTTCCTCAAAAGTTTCAAACCCTTCCTAATAAAGCATTGCACCAACTCATGGGGTGTTGCCAAGTTACGTACCTGATAATGTCTAACAAGGCAATGTAGATTTTGGGTTACGACGATTATTAAAAATCATGAAAAAACTTATTATTTTACGCTGTGTGAATAATTTTGAATTTGATTTGATGAAAGCATGCAAGGTTGCTATATTAACGTTTTTTGCAATTGCAAAATTTGGTCAGGAAATGTCAATTTTCTGATTTGATTGAAACCAGTCTACGTTTATTTTTCAGCAACATTATCAAATTACAAAGCTTTAATTTCTTTCAAAGGGAATTCAAGATTAATTAATGAAAAAGGTGTGTTTCATCCTGTGCGCCGGTTTGTCAAAAACTGTTTGGCAGCAACAAAAATGCTCTCCACGCAGGAGATGAATCTTGGGCGGTCCATATTTGATAAGGGTGTTCTCTTTTTACTTGCTGGGTAAAATAGGAGAAAAGCTCTTTTTTTCTCTCCGCAAAATTAAAGTGAAAAATCGTGCAAATTTGACTTTTTGATTCCGAGGCAAATTCTGAGAACCTCAAGAAATCGCTCATAGACTTATTACATGGGAATAAACAAGCAAATCTATCTCCGTCACGAACCTCCGAAGTTCATTTCACACACTAGAATATTTTTGCTGCAACTTTCAATTTTTGGGGATCTGCGATAATTAGATAAAACACACTTTTATCATTTGTGAATCTTAAAGTTTTTTCTCTTTAGTTCGACTTGAAGATGTAGATGTGTTCTGCTCCTCAATTTGGATGCAATCAATTTGTGATTCGAAAAGGAGCCCTGATTTTTAAAATTGGGTCCCCCGTTTACCTCCCAAGGGGGACTAGAGTAGCTTCGGGATCATGAAATTTGGATTTCTCGGGGTCGATTACCTGGGAAACCGTCTTAGTCTGGAGAATCTACGTCAATTTTGAGACCAGAGAGAAATTAGGGAGGGGTGTACTGTCCCCCTCTTTAGGGGATCATTTTTGGGCCTTGGATGGGCCGATTTTGGATTTTTAGGGGTCAATTTCACGTGAAATTTTCCGTGCTTTTAAATTCTGATGCGATTTATCCGCAATTCGGTCGGGAACCGTGACTTTAAGCATCGTGACCCCCCCTTTACCCCCAAAGAGGGGGTGGGGGGTTTCGGGACCACGAAATTCGGATTCCTTGGGGTCAATTCCCTACTTAACTCCGCGGTCCCCGACTTCATACGACCTAAAATAACCGAGAAAAAGGCCTGGTACGGGTGGTCTGAAACACCCTGTATATCCGTACTTACTTACTTGCATACAATACACACACCCATTTTCCAAATTCTCTGTAAAGACGTCAATAGCCTGTGACGCTGAATGTCTTAAAATATATTAACTAACCTACATACATACATATATTTTGATCTCTCCTCTAAAGTGTTAATGGCTCAAATGTTAAAAGCACCAAATAAACGTATATACATCCATACATATAACCAACATACATATAACCAACCATACATACATACCCCTAATTTTTAAATTTTTAAATTTTGTACCACACTATTTTGATCTCTCCTCTAAGGTGTTGATGGCTCAAATGTTAATAGCACCAAATAAACGGATCTACCAACCAACCATACATACATACATTACACCATTTTGATCTCTGCTCTAAGGTGTTAATGGCTCAAATGTTAAAAGCACCAAATAAACGGATCTACCAACCAACCATACATACATACATACATTACACCATTTTGATCTCTGCTCTAAGGTGTTAATGGCTCAGCTGTTAAAAGCACCAAATAAACGTATCTACCAACCAACCATACATCGAGGACCCCCCAACCTACAAAATATTCGCCAGATCAGCCAGCCAACAGCCTCTGCAAAAAGCATTCAGCAAACTCCCACAACACCAGTCCCGAAACGCCAGTGCCTCAAAATGAAACCGTCACTACAATCCTAACTGACCTATTTTCAAAGAACATGGAAAATATGGTAAGTCTAGGTAGTGGGACACATGCAACTGAAATGGAAGGTGTGATTAATAAACTAACACAATAAACCCCAGTAAAGCTTCAAAATACAAGCCCCTTAACAAAACTCTTGTCTCCTCAATTACAAACAGATTCAAAAGAACAACCACATAAAAGAAACACTACTTCTCCCTCTTTTGAACAAACACGATAATGACACGGCTGACGAGGTAATGTAGATTTTGGGTTACGATGATCATTAAAAATCATGTAAGAACTTATTATTTTCAGCTGTTTGAATAATTTTGAATCCAGTTTGATGAAAGCATGCAAGGTTGCCATCTTAACGTTTTTACAGTTGCAAAATTTGGTCAGAAAATGTAAATGTTCTAATTTGATTGAAACCAGTCTATGTTTATTTTTCAGTGACATTTATCAAATAATAGACTGGTGATTGATGAATTTTTACATACAGTGGGGCATCATGTCAAAGTTATTGAACTTCAATTCAGGGAACGCAGTTGATGTACGAAAAAAAATACACACAAATCGACAAGCAGATTTGATTTGAGAAAAATTCCCGAGGTAAATTGTTCCTGACTCTAAGCGTAAAATTTGAATTCCTTCCCCTCTTAATATCAACAGTAAAATAGGGAAAATTGGTTTTTAATTCACGTGTAAGTAGTGAACACAAACGTTTAGAGATTATACTGATGTCCGCAAAAAATTGAAGCCCCAATCTCATCAAGTCGAACTAAAGAGAAAAAACTTTAAGATTCACAAATGATAAAAGTGTGTTTTATCTAATTATCGCAGATCCCCAAAAATTGAAAGTTGCAGCAAAAATATTCTAGTGTGTGAAATGAACTTCGGAGGTTCGTGACGGAGATAGATTTGCTTGTTTATTCCCATGTAATAAGTCTATGAGCGATTTCTTGAGGTTCTCAGAATTTGCCTCGGAATCAAAAAGTCAAATTTGCACGATTTTTCACTTTAATTTTGCGGAGAGAAAAAAAGAGCTTTTCTCCTATTTTACCCAGCAAGTAAAAAGAGAACACCCTTATCAAATATGGACCGCCCAAGATTCATCTCCTGCGTGGAGAGCATTTTTGTTGCTGCCAAACAGTTTTTGACAAACCGGCGCACAGGATGAAACACACCTTTTTCATTAATTAATCTTGAATTCCCTTTGAAAGAAATTAAAGCTTTGTAATTTGATAATGTTGCTGAAAAATAAACGTAGACTGGTTTCAATCAAATCAGAAAATTGACATTTCCTGACCAAATTTTGCAATTGCAAAAAACGTTAATATAGCAACCTTGCATGCTTTCATCAAATCAAATTCAAAATTATTCACACAGCGTAAAATAATAAGTTTTTTCATGATTTTTAATAATCGTCGTAACCCAAAATCTACATTGCCTTGTTAGACATTATCAGGTACGTAACTTGGCAACACCCCATGAGTTGGTGCAATGCTTTATTAGGAAGGGTTTGAAACTTTTGAGGAAACCTATTTGCACGTCAAGGACGAATATACATAAAATTTTAACTTAATTTGACCAGAGGGTAGTGGGTTTTGGTGGTCGCACATTGGCTTCTGCCGCCATCGTACCCTTAAAAATAAAAAATAAAATCGGCCCTCCTTACGATTTCGCGGTTTCCAATCTTTCAATTCTTCATTGGACACTTTCATCAAAAATAATCGCGAGTGATCCCCAGAAAAATTAAATTTTTGTAAAACGAACTGTGAAT